CGGCCCCCACCACAGCCAGCTCTGACGGCTGGATCCAGTGGCTTTGCGGGCCCGAGGAGGCCGGCCAGAGCGCCTGGGGGTGGGGTGGGGGGGGCGGCAAATACACGCTCATGCTGGTGAGGGAGCTGCAGCAGGACAGGGTGCCCACACCCCCTCTTTCCCAAACAGGTGCCTCCCTTCCGCGCTCCCCCACTGCGTCTGCAGTCTTCCAGGAAGAGGCCGATATAATCGCTGAGTTGGCTGATCGAGGCTGGTATCACCCTGGCGGCTCTACAGGATGAGCCTGCTGCTTCCAGGGCCCAGAAGGGCCTGCCCAAGAGCCCGGACCTGGCCGGGCTCCCCGTTACCCGCCCTGTACTATTGTTCCTGCCGGGCACCTGGCTCCTCCTCTCCCGCCCCACCCTCTGGCCCAAACATCACCTCATGCCCAGACCCAGCCCCTCTCCAGTTCCCCAGACGCCAGCCTTGCTCATCCCTGAGGCAGGATGGGGTGCCAGGACCCCCGGCAGTTGCCCACTCCCCACCCTCCACACACACACCTCAAGCTTCGTCAATGCCAGGGGCCCCGGTCTTGGTACAGGTTTGATTTCCAAAACCAGGTGTCTTGGCTGTGTGGCCTCGGGCAAGTCCCTTTACGTCTCTGAGCCTCGATTCCCATGCAAGGTGTCGTGCCCCCCGTGCCGTGCTGTTAAACCATAGAAAGTGCCGGGCGGGGTACCCGGCACGCTGGAGGTGTTCAGGAAATGTGTGTCCGACTCTTCCCCAGCATGACCTGTTCTCCCGGGGCCTGTGGGAAAGAAGGAAGCTGTGGAATCTTCAGCTCGCCCATCTAACAGTAATCAGCATGCAATCATCATGCTCAACATGCAGCCCGAATTGTTCACTTGTGAAATGGGTTCCAGCCTCGAAGCTCTCCCGTCAGCCGGCTCTGGGCTCCTGGCTTCGGGGGGCGGCTGGCTCGAGTACCAGGGTCCGGGGCTCTGGGCGGGAACGGGGTCTGAGATGTAGGAGGGGCGTAGGCAACGCCAGGGGGTGGGGGTGGGGGCACGGGCTGGGGGGGGGGGGGGGGGTTGGGATTTGGAAGAATCCGGCCTGCCAAAGGGGGGAGTGGACCAGGCTGCCCTGTGGAGGCCCGGGAAGCCTGGCCCCCCTCTGGGGCAGCTCCAGGGGCGAGCCCCTGGCCCAGAAGCCCGTGCTGGAGGCTTTAGCGCCCACATCCTGGTTCTGGTGGTGGTAGCACATCACCCCTGCTCCAGACAGGGGTCTGTTTCTCTTCTTGCTTGTTTTGGGTTGGGGGCGGGGGGAGTGCAGGCAAGCGGTGCGGCAGATACCCTCCAGGACTGGCAAAGGGGGCCCTGGGAAGGCAGAGAGGAGAGGGCCTGGGCTTGGGGAGGGCTCGGGGAATGACCGGTAAAGAGGGAGGGGCGTGTGAGTGTGGGGTGGATCCACGAGGGAGTGAATCGGTGAGTGTGTAAGCGAGTGAATGAGCGAGTGAGTAAGCTAAGGCCCAAGTCGTATTAGCAAACACTTATGCAGCACTTGCTGCCTGCCTGACGTTGTACAAAGCGCTTTACTTGTCTGAACTCAGTCTTCACCGGAACTTTATGATGCAGACAGTATTATTACTTCCGTTTCGTGGAGCAGGGACCCCCACCCCCACCCCAGGCACCCCAGGAGAAGTTAAGTCAATCGCTCAAAGTCACACAGCTGGTATGTGACTGGGTCGGGACTTGAACCCACGCAGGCTGGCTCGAGTCTCTGGGTAGTAAGTGGGCGCCTAGCCGCAGGGCTATACAGGAAGTTGGTAGCTGAGGGGTGGAAAGACGGATTTTGCGTCTGGACCTTGAGGCTTCAGGCTTCACGGCATTCATTCATTCATTCATTCATTCATTCCAGGTGTCTGCTCACTCATCCACTCCCGAATGCTGGCCTTGGGAGAAGGAGGGGTGAGATTAGTAAGATTCTGTTCTGCCCTGGCGGAATTTGTCCGTCAGGGCTTGGCTTCAGTGCCACCGCTTCCAGGAAGCCTTCTCTGACTTCCTCTGCGGAGGGCTCATAGGCTCCTGGGCTTCCCTCAGTACTATCTTCCCCTGATGTCTGCTTCCTTCCCTAGCTGGGCGGTGCTTTTGTCTCTGAATTCTTGGCATGCCCCGGGTGCTCAATAAAGGCTCCATGAGCAAAATGTCGCCACTGAGCCTCCTCCTGGGGACTCCCTGCTCTCTGCCGCCTCCTCTCGTCACTCCAGCCGGGAGGCTCCGGTGTCTGGGTAGAGCCCATGGGGTCCCTGTAACTCCCCAAGCCCTCCCCATCCTGCCGGAGTGGAAACTCTCCGGGCACTGGTTTCAACTGGCGGCCACTGTCAGCAGGGCTGGGACTCGCCTCTGCCCTGGGAGGGAGGGAACTGGGCCCGCCCTGGCTCAGCGACCCACAGCAGCCTCTTCCTCCGTTGGCTAAATGTTTGTTTTCAAATTCCTGAGGCCTGCGTCACCCCCACCCCTGTCCCTACTGGTCCCTGGCCGGCTGGGCTGCCGTTGCTTCCTTGCTTGACCAGAGTGGGGTGCTAGGCCAAGTCTCTCCTGCCGCCCACCAGCTAGGGCCAGAGCCCTGAGCGGGCTGACATCGGTGAGATGAGAGATAGCGCCCTCCCCAGCCCCCCTGCGTAGACTCTTTTCTCTGCAGGGAACAGTGGTAAGGGATCTCAGCCATAGCCAGGACTGGTTATCTTCTGGGCGGGGTTGGCTGGGTTGGGGAAGCCCTGAGCTGGGCACTGCCCCCCCCCCCCGCCCCCCGCCCCCAGCAGGCCTGGTCCCGGCCCGGAAGCCCAGCAGAGGGCAGACCTAAGTCCAACTCACCCCAGCGGGGCGAGTGGGTCTCAGACCGGAACTATTACCCATGGGAATCACCCGGGACGCTGGCAAACATGCAGCCTCCTGGGCCCCATCCTCTGAGCCTCCCCGGTGAGTCCGGTGCAGGAGGCCCACACGGCTGGATTTCAGCTGGCTTAGGCAAGCAAACTTGGCCTCTTCCGGCAGCTCTAGCACTCAGCTGCCCTGCAACTGGCCTCCTAGAGCTCCACTGTCCAGTTCCGGAGGCACCGGCCACAGGTGCCTATGTAAATTTAAATTAATTGAAATGAAATGAAAGCCGGTTCCTCAGGGGCATTAGCCGCATTTCAGGTGCCCAGCAGCCACTTGTGGCCGGTGGCCACCACGTGGCACAGAGCAGATGTGGAACGTTGCCATCCAGCCATCGGTCCGTCCGCAGAACGTTCCCTTGGACAGCACCGTTCTAGAATGTCAGCTCCGTGAAGGCAGAGATAACTGCTTTATTCACCGCTGTCCACAGGCTCCAGTTCGGTGCCTAGGACGTAGCTGGGGATCGACAGATACTTTTTCAATTAATTTTCAAGCCCCGCATCTGGCTCTCTGTTATCAGCACAGAGCCCACTTTGGATCCTCTGTCTGTCTGTCTCTCTCTCTCTCTCACCCTCCTATGCTGTCTCTTTCAAAAATACATAAACACTGGGGCACCTGGGTGGTTAAGCAGCCAGCTTCAGCTCAGGTCATGATCTCACAGCTCATGAGTTTGAACCTCGCAGCGGGCTCTGTGCTGACAGCTCGGAGCCTGGAGCCTGCTCTGTGTCTCCCTCTGTCGCTGCCCCTCCCCGCCTCACATTCTGTCTCTCTCTTCTTCGAAAATAAATAAACATTAAAACATTTTTTAAATAGGGGCGCCTGGGTGGCTCAGTCGGTTAAGCGTCCGACTTCGGCTCAGGTCATGATCTCACGGTCTGTGAGTTCAAGCCCCACGTCGGGCTCTGTGCTGATGGCTCAGAGCCTGGAGCCTGCTTCGGATCCTGTGTCTCCCTCTCTCTCTGCCCCTCCTCCATTCATGCTCTGTCTCTCTCTGTCTCAAAAATAAATAAACATTTAAAAAAAAAATTAAAAAAAATTTTTTTAAATAAACCTTAAAAATATATATATTTAAAAAGAAAAAGAGCTTTCTCAACCTCCCAAACTCAGACTCTGGCCCCATGAAACCGTAACTCCTCATCAACAAACAGTTTTGAACAAATGAGCAGCCTTGGCCAAGTCACTTCCCCTGCTCTGGCCTTTAGCTGTGTCATCTACAAAATGGGTATCATACCAGTTTGTCAAAAGGATCAAACGAGATAAAGTGTGTGCTTAGCACCGGCCCTGGCACACAGTAAGTGCTCATCAAATATTAGCTGTTACTGTGTTATTACCCCATCGGGAAGGGGAAGTCGAGCGTCCCACACCTCCCTGCTTTCTGAACTCTGCATTCAAGTAAACAGAAACGGGGACCACTGTGGGTGTGAATCACATGGGTGTGTTTTGTCTCCAGGGTGTGAGCCACCATTGATCCTTTGTGTCCCCAGCCAGGCTAGTTACCCTGATGACCACGTTTGCCTTTCCCAGAGTTCTTTCACCAAAGTCCTCCCTTGCGATCCTGCAGCAGCCCCGAGGTGGGGAGAGGTTAGAAGGGAACCTTATAGACGATGTCAGTGTGCAGATGGGAAGGCTGAGGCCCAAGGTTAACACCGGAAGCCGGTGAAAGAGTCAGGATTCCGAGCAGAAATCTTTCCAAACTACCCCCTGACTGGCACACGGGAGTCACTGGCTGAGTGGATGGATGGATGCTGTTAGGCTGATGAACCTTTCTTTTTAAAATTTTTTGTTAGTGTTTACCGATTTTTGAGAGAGAGAGAGAGAGAGAGAGAGAGAACGCACGAGCAGGGGAGGGGCAGAGAGAGAGGGAGACACAGAATCAGAAGCGGGAGCCAGGCTCTGAGCTGTCAGCACAGAGCCTGTTGCGGGGCTCGAACTCACGGACCATAAGATCATGACCTAAGCAGAAGTCGGCCGCTCAACCGACTGAGCCACCAAGCACCCCACAGGCTGATGAGTTTTTCTTGGTTTTTTTTTGTTTTTTTTTTTACAGCTGAAGGGACAGGCTCAGGGAGGTTAAGTGAGGAGCTTGGTAAATATTTATGGAATTGATCACACGGTGTCAGAGGTTAGGGCAAGCTGGCCAGGCGCTCTGAACCCTGTCATACCTTTAATCCCTGCCCCAAGGGACAGCCGGGACAGTCTTCTTGCACAGGATGGGATGTTATTATGGTGGAGTAGAGAGAGAAGCTAGCTGTTGGCATCACGAGAGAAGGAAGAAATTTCTTTGGCTTTGGCGTCAGCCTCAGATCCGTGACAGATCTGGAGACGAGGGTGCGGTCTTGCAAATCTCTGCAACTTTCTAAGCTAGGGACCCTTCTAGAGACACTGTCCCTAAAAGCTGTGGCTGGCCTCCAGTCAGTGGTGAGCTGGTAAATGTTTCACCACCGGCTGCCTGAAAGGAAGAAACAAAGCAAACCAGTAAACAAAAAACCCACAAAATCTTGGTTTGCGTCAGTTGCCAATTGCCGTGGTGTAAATACTTACACTTGCAGCTGAGTTCAAAGCGCCAATGAAATCGGGCTTGCAAAATCCATGAGCCTTTAACAGCCCCCTCTCTCTGAGCCAGTAGGAGCCAGGTCTGCATAATTCAGGCAAGACTCTTCCCCATTCTGTGCCTCAGTTCCCTCATCTGTAAAGTGAGTCATTTCCATGTTCCAGCCCAGAAGTGAGGGGATCAGCAAGGCAAAGGGGACACCTTTGAGCCCCTGGCTGGCGCATGTTGGCGGGGACCCGGAGGGCAGAAAGGAGCATCAGCTGGGGGGACTGGCACCGCACCCCCTTCCCACCCGGGGCTCCTGGGCAGCCCGATCTTCCTCCCTGGCCCCAGGCCCAAGGATTCCAGAGTGGCCCAGTGGAGGTGACCGTGTAGCCCCCCCTGTCCCGCCCGGCCCCTCGGGCCACTTTCAGAAGTGGGCAGAGGGAGGGCAGAGCGGCCCAGTGGTGATGACAGAGTTTGCTCAAATCTGGAAAGACAGGCTTACCCGCCCCTGTCTGGCTAATCCCCCTCATGTACCCTGGCTTACCTCCTGGCACCATGGAGAGGGGAGAAATTCCCCTCTGCCACCCAGGCAGCACCTCCTGTTCCTACCTGAGCTCTGGCAGGACCCTGGGCACCCAAAGGGGCACAGCTTCGACGAGGGGGTGCCAGGTCATGGGGATGGACGGTCCCCACTCCACATCTCTCCTCTTGCTTGTGGCATCGAAGGCATTTGCAGCCAGGGACTAGTGAGCCTGGAAGTTAAGGGGAGGTGGTCATGTTGAGAAGGGTCCGTTGAGAGGGAAGACTGCATTGCTGAACAGGTGTTCCAGAACTTTCTTTCCGTGAAAAGAGATGAGAACACAAAATATTAGGGCAAGACGATGCCTAGTGAAAATGAGCCTTCTGCTACAAAGACGGGGAAACTGAGGCCAGTGAGGGAAAAGGTCATGTCCACAGTCACACAAGGACTGAGAGGCTGAGCTGGAGCCCAGACCCGGTCCCTGGATGTGCAGTCTCTCTTCTTTGCTACCTGGTGAGTGGCAGAGGGGCCAGAAGGTGGGGACCCAGTCACAGGCTGTCCTGGGGCAAAGGGGTGACCAGCCAAGGCCTGCCGTTTCCCAGGGGGTGCTGGTGACCGCTCCGGGGAGATCTGTCACCCCCTAGGAAGCAGGCCCCCCGCTTCTGGAACACCTGGGGCCTGAGAAGTGCGGTGACTGTGAGTCCGGGGTGGGCCGCTCCCCTTCCCGACTTGGGGGCGATGCTGCCCGCGAGCGGGGAGCTAGGCCTGCCCGGCTCTGCTTCCATTTTCTCCCTGATGCCTTGGGCCAGTCACAGTCCCTCCTGGCACCAGCCTCTCTGGCTGCAAAATGGGAGGTTTGGCCCAGACCACCGGTTGACAGCTCAGCTGCAGAATTATTTTCAAATGCCTGGTACAGAACATGGACACACAGGAGGGTCGAGGATTTGGACTCCCTGGAAGGGACCCTCAGCCCTCCCTGGGCAGAATCCCTGCATGGGACCACAGAACCCACGGGGGGCTTCTTCCGCAGGGTGGGGTGGGATCCCAGGAGCCTGGGTCATACCCTGAGGGAGGAAGTCAGGTGCTAGTCCAGTCTCCTGGAAGGCTGGAGAGAAAGAGATAGAGAGAGATAGAGACGTCAGAGATAGAAAGACAAAGACAGAGAGATAGAGACAGAGACAGAGAGAGACAGAGAAGTCAAGAGATAGAAAGACAAAGGGGGAGACAGGGCAAACCAAAAAAAAAAAAAAAACAACAAAACAAAACAGAACAGGAGGCACACAAAAAAAGAGAAATATTTGAGAATGAAATGGAGGGAGAAGGAGAGGGAGAGAGGGAGAGGGGGAGAAGGAGAGACACATGTTTCCACTCAAAGTTCTTGTTTAAAATGAAACCGAACCAACAATCTCAGCGGCTGATGGTTGGCCGGAGCCCAGGCCCCAGGCAGAGTGTGACCACCGGCCTCCTGGCCCCCTGCCTGGAACTCACATAATGACTGCCTGGGGCCTGATCTCAGCCACCTCCGACAGAGCCTTGTCCCCAGACAGTGGTTCAGGCCTGAGGGTCCCAGGAGAGGCCCCAGAGCCGGAAGAGCCCCCAAGGCCTCTCTCAGATACCACCGAGGGGAATGCCTCTGCCAGAGCGTTTTGGCCATTCCAGGCGGGGAGCAACCAGCCACCAGTAGGCCTGGGGCTGAGGGCCAGAGGGAAGCCTGAGAGGGAACAAGCTCAGACTTTAACCTGGGGCCCGGTCAGCGGGGGTCCAGCACCACCCAGATGCTCAGGGTCTCTCCACCCCTCCTCTCAGTGCCTGTGGCCCCAGGCCCAGGGCACCAGGCTGGGAGTGAGCCATGCGCCATGGGCATTCTGGAGGGCCTTCTGGAAGGAAGAGTAGGCAGGTGGGTGAGTCTAGGGCCTTGTCTCCCAGTACACCTGGCCAGGCTTGCCCAGAGCCCCCTGTCTCTCTCTTCGCTCTCGCTTTCTCTCTCCTGCGCTCTCTCTCTCTCTCTCTCTCACACACACACACACACACACACACACACACACACACACGTATTATGCACTCAGAGCCAAGACTTGATCTGGCCTAAACCCCATGTACCTGGGCAAGAATAAAAGTACTTTAATAGCAGCTTGTATTTGTAGAGCACCTGCTGGGCCCTGGGCCCTTCCAAGCCCTGAATGCATCGTCTTAGTGAATCCTCAGGCCCCACAAGGCCTGGAGCCATTATAATGCTCTCTTTACAGATCGTGAAACTCAGGCTCAGGGGAGTTAATACACTTACCCAAGCGTCACCAGTAAGACGCTGGATTTGAACCGAGGTTTGCTCACCTATGCAGTCCCATGCCCTGAGGTAGGAGGAACTTCTGGGGTGTGGGGCCAATCCCCCCCCCCCCCCCGCATCCCAGGGCCCGCGGAGGGGGCACAGTCCACACCCTCAGGCCCAGACTCCTGTCCCTTCCGGAGCTGAGAGAGGCAGGTCTGAGAACAGCTGATCCCCTGGGTTTTGTTCTTGGCACAAAGGAGTCCGGATCCAGGCTTAGTGGTGAATGGCGAGGGGCCCGAGGGGCCCGCAGCCCCCTCCCGCGGGCCGGCCTGGCAGGCTCTGCGCCTGCCGCTTCCCCAGAGCCCCTGAGCCCTCAGCTTCCTATTCAGAACCCCGGCTCAGCCCCGACAGGAGTATCAAAGGCCGGCAGATCTAGGGGGATTACAGGAGGCAGTGGGAGGCTGGGGGAGCTGGGCTGGAGGCAGCCCCACGGGGCTCCCTACTATGTGTTGGGCCCTTCCTGGTCTTGGGTACTCCTCACGGCCACGGGCAATGTGGGTGACGACGGGAAAAGGAAGGCTACAGAAGGGAAGGGACTGGTCCAAGGTCACACAGCAAGGCCGAGGCAGAACCAGGGTGTGAATCCAGGTAACCTGGCTCCCAGTCAGGGCTTTCTTCACGAAACAAGGCTCCTCTGTGCCCAAGACACCCCTGTCCCGTGGCCTCTTCCAATGGCAGACGGAGAGGACAACGAGACCCTGGCTGGCAGGGGCAGACACAGGAGAGAGAGGGTGTCCTGTGGGAAGCCCCTTCCCCTGACCACCCGAGGGGGGCACTGGGGGCCCCGGGCCAGTGAGAGCAGTGGGGTCTGGGGACTCAGACTTGCCCAGGAGAGAAGGGAACGGGGGTCTCGCTAGTGAGGGCTCTGGGTGGGAGTAGAGGGTTAGGGGGAGCAGTACACTGGGCCGTTGGTCCCTGGAGTGTGGCCCTACTGTGTGGCCTCAGGGAGGAACAGATCCCTTTCTGGGCCTCAATCTCTCTCTAGGCCCCCAGGCTCAGAAGACCTCCCTCGTTCTGTCATGGGGACGCAGGCTTGGTAACTGAGGGTCCTTTCCCCGAATCCTTGCAGTGGGGCTGGCTGGTGCTAAGCTCTGGGCCGGCATTCTTTCCACCAGTCCCCCTGGCAATGCCATCAGGAGGCTGCCGCTATGTCTCCCCCACCTGACAGACGAGGAAACTGAGGCTCAGAGAGGCCTTGTCCAAGGTCATCCGGCTTGTAAAGATTTCAGAGCCTCGCGACCTTACTCCCACCCTCTCTCCTCAGGATGCCGGGCCCTGGCTGTGGGCTGGGCCCCCAGCGTGCGGTCCCCTCCCTCCTGGTGCCAAGGTGGCAGGGGAAGGTGCCCACCTGCCTCCCCACCCCAGCCGCAGGCGTGGAGCCACGGCACCCCCGGGGAATGCCGCTGCATTCCTGTGGTGGGGGTGTGGCCGCCCCGGGCGCTGTTTGCCCCGGGCTGGTGCCCGTTGCTAAGCAAGCCCCAGCTCCAGGCGCTGAGTCAGCAGGCCGGGCAGCCCTGTCCCTCCCAGCGAATCACCAGCACGGTGGTGGCTGGAGGGGAGGAGGAAGTTCTACTTCCCTTTGGAGGAGGAGGGGCGGCCTTAGGGTTCACATCTGGGGACACCGGCTAGACATAGTGGGGGGAGTCGGGGTGGAGGTCTGAGGTGTGCCTGGGGGAGGTAAGACACGCCCTTCGAGAAAGTTGGGGAAGTGGGGCTGGGGGGGGGGGCCCAGTGGGGGTGGGAGGGACTTTAGACTAGAAGGGAGGCAGCGGTGCCGGCTGGCTGCTTCATCCAGGTCCTTATCTCGTATAATAAAAGTGATTCACTACTGATATCTTCCACTGTTCAGATGGGGAAACTGAGGTGCGGCCAGGTCTTTAGTGAATAAAGGGCTCCGACAGGCCTGTGAACCAGACCTGTGCTCAGCACGCCAGGGGCGGGGAGAGACCCTCCAGGCCTGGCTGTATGAGCCTGGGCTAGGCTTTCCCCCTGGGCCTCGGTTTCCCTTCTCTGCTGGCGCCAGCCCAGGGTCTCCCCGAGCCCTGAGAAGGAAGAGAAAGTGGAAGGTCCTACAACCTCCTCCTAGATTAGGGATAAGTCACTTCCCCTAGCGGGTCTCACCCTCCGGGCCAGACTTTGATCTGGCGCCTGCCTTCAGATTTCTTTATCTTTATGAGCGGTGCCCCCGGGCACCACCCCACTCGGTCATCTGGTGCAGAAAGGGACAGGTGGAGGGACCGGCACCAAGAGGAGCCGAGGACTCAGAGGGGTCCGGATGCTAACCTCTGCTCCCCTGGGACTTCCTGGTGGGTGGTGGGCACTGGGCGCCAGGATGGGGGAGACAGGGTGGGGCGGGGTGGGGTGTGGGGGTCAGAAAGCTGGGAGTTTCAATGTCTGGTTTTGGTGGTTTTTGATAAGAGAAGGACTGGGAGGTGACAGGGCTGGGGAAAAATGTCCCACCCCCAGCCTGCCTGGCAGCTTTGTCCCACTGTCCTGGAGCCTCTGTCAGTCTTGGGGGGAGGCGACTGGAACAGAAGACAATGGTTTTGGGGGGTTAGGGCTGAAAGGGGCAGTGTCTGTGATACTTCCTTGGAGAGGAGCACCCCCCATCCAGGCCGATGGGGGAAGGCTCTGCCTCTGTCCTGGGACTCTCTCTACTCGGATCAGAGGCATCCACTCTATACCTGGAAAAGCCCCCCAGTCAGCTGGAGGAGTTCCTGCCCTTTCCCCTGGGGGGTTCACAGTCTGAGGACAGAGGCAGGCAGGGCTGCTAACTTGCAGGACTGTTGAGAGTCCAGCTCTGTACCTGCTGGGCCTCATCAGGCCAATTTGAAGGTGAGGAAGGCAAGGCAGGGCCCAGAGACACATACCTTCACCCCCACAGGGATCAGCCTAGGGTCAGGGCCTGGCTGGGGGGGGGGGGGTCTCTG